AAAAGAAAATAGGAAACAACCTCGGAACCTGCCACAGAGGGCCTCTGAAAGCTTCTGCAGTATAGACCGTCAAAGCAGATGCTGAGCCTGATGGCCAACTGATGGGCAGAGTGAATGGAATTTTATGTAAGAAGTGGGAAATAGTAAGAGCTGGAGGGAATGGGCACTCCACAAGCAGAGCAACAGAACAAGATAATTTGAACACAGGGAACTTCCCAGAGACTCATACTCCAACCAAGGACTATTTGTGGAGATGACCTGGAACCCCTGCACAGGTGTAGCCCATGGCAGTTCAGTGTCCAAGTGGGTTCCATAGTAATGGGAAGAGGGACTGCCTCTGACATAATCTGATTGGCCTGCTCGTTGATCACTTCCCCCTGAGGGGGGAGCAGCCTTACCAGGCCACAGTAGAGGACAATGCAGCCACTTTTGATGAGAACTGATAGACTAAGATCAGAAAGAAGGAGAGGAGGACCTCCCCTATCAGTGGACTTGGGGAGTGGCATGCATGCAGAAAGGGGAGGGAGGGTGGGATCGGCAGGGGAGGAGGGAGGGGCTCATGGGGGGATACAAAATGAATAAAGTGTAATTAATAAAAAAAAATAAAAGATTTAAAAAAAAAGTAAAAAAAAAATGAGGATTAATAAAGAAACAGGCCACGGAGAGAGGCCATAAGTCACACACACTTATCACTGTGGCTGATCTCTGGCCCCTAAAAGAAAAGAGGTTGGAATTTCTTTTAGGGAAAAGAGGATATTAGCAATAGGGTCTCATATAACTTGGGTTAAACTTGAACTTGCTTTGCAGAGGATGATGACCTTGAATTTCAGATTCCTCTGCTTCCATCCCATTAAGTACACTCAGATGCTTTTTACTTAAGGCAGGGCCTCACTATAAAGTCTGTCTTATGGGATGGAAGTTACTATTGAGGCCTGTCTACCTAGAGTCCACAGAGATCAGAGATGCATGCATCTGGCTTTTCCTCCCAAGTGCTAGCATTGAAGTTACATAGAATAACCTGCCCTGAGATATTTAAAGAAACTTATAGAAATACAACTAGACAATGATCAAGGTAAATGAAAGAACTTTCACAATGACCTTGACAGAGATTAATGCTAATGCCAAAAACAATAATACTATTTCTGTAGGATAACTGAGAATAATACAGCTTTTACAACAGTTTCATAAAAATGTTCTCAATACTTATTACTTGGGGTATTTCTGAGCGATTCTGTTTTGTTTTGAGTAAGGATCTCATGCTGTATCTCAGACAGACATAAAATTCCCAATCTTCCTGCATCACATACCCAATTTTTGGAAGCTCATCTGTTAAGTTAAGCTACAACACTAGCTTAATCTTAGGTGATAGTCATATTAAGGCAAAATCTTTGAGTACTGAACATTTTGCTTTGAATCCTAGCCCTTTCATGGAGGTCATAAAGTTTTGTTGGCTTAAAACTTTTTTTTATTCATTTCGCCACACCTCCAGTTTATGTTTTGTATAAAGGCAATCAACCATGAGAATAATTGGAAAGAATGTGTTAAAAGGACAGAAAAGAGACTTTTGGGAATCCTTACTACTGTGCAGCCGAGATCATTAGGTAATGAACCTTCCTAGGGAAAATTGAATTTTATAATGAGAAAATAAAAGATTTTACATATAGCCAAAAAGGTGTGATGAAAGGCTTTGCATTTTACATGTAAACTTTCTGTTTTGTGAAAGATAACAATATAAGGTCAAATTATTTTTTAAATTTTTTGCTATCATCATTTATTACAATTTATTCGCTTTGTATCCCTGCTCTGTTCCCCTCCTTCGTCTCCTCCTAATCCCACCCTCTTTCCCTCTTCTCTCCCTATACCCCTTCCCTAGTCCACTGATAGGTAAGGTCTTCCTTCCCTTCTGTTTGACCCTAGCCTATCAGGTCTTATCAGGACAGATTGCATTGCCTTCCTCTATGGCATGGCAAGGCTGCACCTTACAGGGAGAGGTGATCAGAGAGACTGACACTTAATTCATGCCAGAGAAAGCCCCTGCTCCCCTTATTAGGGAACTTACATGGAGACAGAGTCTATGGACTACAGTTGAGCCAGGGTTTTAGGTCAAATTGTTTTTTAATACTTTTACCTTTCTCTTTTTTTCTTGCACTTTAATTTTTTTCATGAAAATTTATTTTCCTCAATCTCCTCATGGAAGAAGGTAGGCTGACAGCAAACCTTCACCTTTCCCTCTGATTCTTAAGATCCCATTCCCCAGTCTTACTCTTAGGTCTGCAGCAGAAAACTTGTGGCAGTACTCCCCATTTCTAGTGGATCCAAAGAACTTTACCTTCTAAAATCGTTGGCTCCACTTGTTGTACTATCACAGCCCCCAAGTTCAGCATTACCTGGGGACTCACAAACCACTCTGTCCAGGGAAACACGTAAGATAACTACAGATTGTCACCTCTCCCAATATTTCTCAAAGTCCAATTATCCAGTCTCATACTCAAGACTGCAACGGAACATCTGCTGCAGCCTTCCTTCCATTCTTGCCCCCATCTTTAGTGGATCACAAGTATTCAATCCCCATATTTTCTTCTTCCCACTCATTAGTTTGTCCCAACTCTCAAATCTAGCTGCCCCTGAGAAGTCACATGCCATTCTGACCAGGAAAGCAACTAAGCTACAACTGCAACAATCCCTCTATTCTTCATCTTCATTTTTTTAGTCTTATCCCCAGTTCTTTAGCAAATCTTCTGCTGTGGCCTCTCCTCACTATCTGGACCCAGTCTCAGGAGACAAACTAAGCAGATTCTGGTGGAACACTGATTTTTCCCCATGTAAAGTCCCACCATCAACTCTAGTCCCTATGCTTACTCCTAAGTCGTGGGTCCCAATACTAAGAACCACATTTGACCTTTTACCTCAGTGTAGTTCCTACAGGCAACACAAAATGATCACATTCTCCTAACAACCAGAGCAAAAACAGAAGCCAAGGAATACAACACTCATCCAAAAAAGACAAGGCCAGATATCAGCACATAAAATTTTAATCTTTCCAATCTAGGATGTCTAAATGCGAGTGTAAAAACACAATCAATAGCAGCCTAGACAATAACAGAGCCTGGTGATCCTACCACAGCAGACCCTGAATATTCCAACACAGCTAAAGCACAAGGAATGTAAAGTCCTTAAGACAACTCATAAGAATATGATAGAGGTCCTATAAAAGTAAATGAATATATCCTTTAAAGATATCCTTGAAATAATAAAAATTAGTGGAAAGAAAAACCTGTCTCCAATTGAAAGTGGAAATAGAATCAATGCAGAAAATCCAAACGGAAGGAAATCTTAAAACAAATATTTTAGGAACTCAAACAAGCATCTCAGAGGCAAGCTTCACCAACAAGTACAATAGATGGAAGAGAGACACTTAGGAATTGAGGACATGATAGAAGAAACAGATACAGTGGTCAAAGAAAATGTTAAATGTAAAAAATTCCTGGCATAAATATCCAGAAAATCTGGATACACTGGTCAAATAGATACAATAGATACACTGGTCAAAGAAAATGTTAAGTGTAAAAAACTCCTGGCATAAATATCCAGAAAATCTGGAGCTCTATGAAAAAAATCAAATATAGAAATAATAAAAATAGATGATGAAGAAAAAACCCAGGTCAAAGGCACACAAAAACATTTTCAACAAAATTATAGAAAAAATATAACCTATAAGAAGATGCTTATCAAAGTACAGAAAGTTTACAGAACACCAAACAGATTGGACTAGAAAAGAAAGTCATCTGAGTACATAATAATCAAAACACTAAATGTTTCAGAACAAGTTATGGAAGGATGGGTGAAGCCTAAGATGGGAGAATCAGGTGGGAAATGGGAAAGGAGAGGGTCTTGTGCAATAGAACACAGAAAAGACAGGAGAATTAGGAGGTATTTGAAGGGTAGCATGGAAACCTCAAGCAGTAGAAACTTCCCAAATTCTATGCATATATGAAGGTGATCAGAATGAAATCACCAAATAATGGAGGAGACAGGATCCTAACTGGCCATATGTTGTCACCAGAACATATTCCAGTACTAGGATTGGGTTACATCCAATTGAGTTGTTGGCCAAAAGGGTCCAAGGGGAGTCCCCAAACAACCCCGACTGTTGCTAAGACTATTAGGTTGCTCTCTACAAACTGACATCAGTGCCCCATTGCTAAAAACAACACCTACCCAAGAGATTTATCAGTGATCAAAATACAGAGAAAAATTGTAAGTACTCAGTCATTGATGTGATTTCTATATGATCCCTCTACCAAAGGTTCAGGAAATATCATGGAATAGGGAGTAGAAAGAAGGTAAAGACTAGATGATGGAAGGGAGTTCTTTAAAACTGTTCTCTGTAAATCTTGCCCTCTGGTCATGATGTGGCTGTTGTGCAAATGATATTATATCATCAGTGGTTCCTTACAAAAACCTGCATAAGATAAATCCCGTTAATGTTATTTCATGATACATGGGGAAGGATGTCCTGGTTGAAGAGCTATTTGCAATTGATGGCAGCTAGAAGAGAGAGTTTTTTTTTATCCCTTTTGGGTACATGACAACTGTTAGGTTTCCCATGTCCATGAGGATGACCCCACATTCATGTACACATGAGCAACACAAGGTAGCCTCAGTTGTATTATTTTTTTAAGATTTGAAGTTGTAATATGGAACTTATGTGTTGGAGAACATACTAGCAAGTCAAATAGACACATTATGTTCACTTTTTTAAAATTTCAAAGACTATAAATATTAGGTAAAAGAAACAAAAATATGAAAAATAAATCAAGAACAGAAAAGGACATAGGAAAATATAATGTTTGTTTTGTCTAATTGAAACTCTAAAGGCAGATAAATCAGGAAGAATGAGCCAATAGTTGAGGCCATTATATTTATGTAAGTTACATTACTTCTGAAGGACACCAGTTCCAATATCTGACACTCCAATATCTAAGACTCATTTATTCGAAGAGTAAGTTTTTTTTTTTTTTTAGTTCCTCAGAAACCAACTCATAACTGATTTTTACTATACCTATAGTTTACTTCATCTCTCATTCATCATCAGAAAAGTTCATCTATGTAGTGGATGGTGGTTAACTCAAAGACCCACAGCTGGTAAAGGTGCAGACAACAAGAGACTTTGATGTTATGAGCACTAAATGAGGTTTCTGTATTAAACCTTTTCCTAACCAGATTCAGGGATCATTTTTGATGGTGAGGGACATATTGTAGAGGCAGAGGTGGCAGATGACTACACTAAAATAGTGTCATGTGGACACTTGATGGCATTTGGACTTATGAATTCAACAGGTGTGACTGCATACACAAGATCTATAGAAACTTAAGCTAGACAAAATCCCAGCATGGATCAGGAGGTTGGTCAAGATGTTCTGCCAATAAACTGGTGATTGATACTTTCCTGAAGAGAGTCAGTTACTTTATAAGGGTTTCTCAACTCAACTAAATATTTATATACCCAAAAGTGTGTGTGCACCATTGGCTGGAGTGGATGGCATTAACAAATGATGGGGCTGGAGAAATGGCTCAGAATTTTTTTTTAATTTTTATTTTTTAATATTAATCACAGGTTATTTACTTTGTATCCCATCCTTCATTCCCTCCCAATATCACCCTCCCTCCCTCATCACCTCCCTGTCCCTTTCCAAGTTCATTGCTAGGGGAGGCCCTCCTCCCTTCCATCTGAACCTAGCTTATCAGGTATCTTCAGTACTGGCTGCAATGTCCTCCTCTGTGGCCTAGCAAGGCTGTCCCTCCCTTGGGGAGGTAAAGGAGCCAGTCTTTGAATTCATGTCAGAAGTAGTTCCTGTTCCCCTTACTAGGGAAACCCACTTGGATACTGAGCTACCATGGGCTACATCCGAGCAGGGGTTCTAGGTTATATCCATACATGGTCCTTGGTTGGAGAAACAGTCTCATAGAGGACCCCCATACCCTGATATATTTTGTCCTTGTGGAGCTCCTGTCCTCTCTTGATCATATTAACTCCCCCTTTTATCATATGATTCCCTGCACTCTATCAATGTTTTGGTTATGAGTCTCAGCATCTGCTTTGATATGCTGCTAGGTAGAGTCTTTCTGAGGCCCTCTGTGGTAGGCTCCTGTCCTTTTTCTTGTTTTCTTTTACTTCTTATGTCCATCCTTTGTCTTTCTAAGTGAGGATTGATCATCTTACCCCAGGTCCTCTTTCTTGTTTATCTTCTTTAGGTGCACCTATTTTAGTATATTTATCCTATCTTATAGGACTATATAAGTGAGTATACACCATGTGTGTCTTTCTGCTCCTGGGATACCTCACTCAGGGTGATCTTTTCTAGATCCCACCATTTGCCTGCAAATTTCATGATTTCCTTGTTTTTAATTGCTGAGTAGTATTCCATTGTGTAAAAGTACCACAATTTCTGTATGCATTCCTCCGTTGAGGGACATCTGGTTTGTTTCAGGTTCTGGCTATTATGAATAAAGCTGCTACAAACATGGTTGAGCAAATGTCCTTATTGTGTACTTGAGCATTTTTTGGATATATGCCTAGGTGTAATATAGCTGGATCTTGAAGAATCACTTTCCTAATTCTCTGAGAAAGTGCCAGATTGATTTCCAGAGTGGTTGTATATTCCCACCAGCAGTGGTGGAGGGTTCCCCTTTCTCCACAACCTCTCCAGCATGTGTTGTCACTTGAGTTTTTAACCTTTGCCATTCTGACAGGTGTAAGGTGGAATCTCAGGGTCATTTTGATTTGCATCTCTTTGATGGCTAAGGACGTTGAACACCTCTCTAGGTGTTTCTCTGCCATTCTATATTCCTCTACAGAGAATTCTCTGTTTAGCTCCTTACCCCATTTTTTAATTGGATTGCTTGATTTATTGCTTTTTAATTTCTTTTTAAGAGCACTGTTTGCTCTTACAGAGGATCTGAGTTGAGTTTCTAATACAAGCATGGTGCCTCACTATCTACTGTAACTTCAGTTCTGGAGTATATGATGTACTCTTGTCCTATGCAGCTAATACATACATTGTTGTTCACATACATATATGCAGGTAAAAGATACCTAGACATAAAAGAAAAATAAATCATTAAAAAATGACTATACAGCTAGGTGTTGTGGCATATGATTTCAACCCCAGCACTTGGGAAGGTTGAGGCAGGCAAATCTCTGTGAATTCAAGGCCAGTCTGATTACAAAGAGAGTCCAAGACAGCCAAGGTTATACAGCGAAACTCTGTCTCAAACAACAACAACAAAGTTGGATGGTTATGGATTGAAAGGAGTATATGGGAGGAATAGGGGAGGGGATTAATATGATAAAAATACAATATATGAAATTATCAGAGTTAAAAATATATTCAAAGATACTTCATACAAAGACAGACAATAGAAATAGTGTGAACAGCAAAGAACATTATTTCAACCAAGTAGAGAGAAAGAATAGATGCATTGAAGATTAATGAAAAGAATGCCTCATTTTACAATTGTGTACATGGAGATTCAGAGAAAATGCAAGACCCAGATAATGGTAATTAATAAAATCATTCATAATGATTTATTTTATGTTTTTATTTTTGAATATACTTGTCTTTTCTGAAATCTGTATTTTTAGGATTTTTGTCAAAATCAAGTACCTACAGTTGTGAACCCATATCTTGGTTTTGAATTCCATTCATCCACATGTCTGTTTTTGTTTCAGTGCAATGCTGGTTTTGTTAGTATACCTTTGTAGCATAACATGAAACAAGATATTATGCTTTCCAAGATTGGTTTGATATTCTGTGGGATTTTGTACTGTTTCATATGACTTTATTATTGAACTTTTTCTTTGGAAATTTCATACATGTTAAAATTACATTCTGATTATTGAAACCCTTCACACTTTCTCATCTCCCTCTCATCTTTATTAAGCGACATTCACTAAATTTCTATTTTAAAACACTAAAGTTTCCTACCATATATCTTTTGATTGAAGAATTGACATTAATATTCAGTTTAAGTGTTGGTCTAGTTTGGTTTATGGTTTCTCTAAAAACATTCCCACAATAAGCAACTTAGGAAGAAGAAAGTATTTATGTGGCTTACATTTTCAGGTCATATTCTCCTGATCAGAGAACCTTGGGCAGTATCTTGAGAAGGAATTGAGGCAAAAAAACACAGTTTACAAATCAGCTTTGCTAATTGTCTGAGAAAGCACCAGATTGATTTCCAAAGTGGTTGTACAAGTTTACATTCCCACCAGCAATGGAGGAGCATTTGACTTTCTCCACAAACTCTCCAGCATGTGTTGTCACTTGAGATTTTGATCTTAGCCATCCTGATGGGTGTAAGGTGACATCTCAGGGTCATTTTGATTTGCATCTCCCTGATGGCTGAGGACATTGAACGGTTCTTTAAGCGTTTCTCTGCCATTCTATATTCCTCTAATGCTTCCTCAAAATCCAGCTATTCCACTCCTAGGTATAAATCCAAAATATGCTCAAGTACACAACAAGGACATTTGTTTAACCATGTTTGTAGCAGCTTTATTCACAATAGCCAGAACCTGGAAACAACGCAGACATCCCTCAATGGTGGAATGGATACAGAAACTGGTACATTTACACAATGGAATACTACCCAGCAATTAAAAAAAAAAAAGAAAATCGTGAAATTTGCAGGCAAATGGTGGGATCTAGAAAAGATCATCCTGAGTGTGGTATCCCTGAAACAGAAAGACATACACGGTATATACTCACTCATAAGTGAATACTAGACCTATATGATAGAATAAACATATTAAAATCTGTACACCTAAAGAAGCTAAACAGAAGGAGGTCCCGGGGTAAGATGATCCATCCTCACTTAGAAAGACAAATGGGATGGATATTAGAAGTAGGAGAAAACAAGAAACAGGAAAGGAACCATAGAGGGCCTCAGAAAGACTCTACCTAGCAGTGTATCAGAGCAGATGCTAGGACTCATAACCAAACCTAGGGCAGAGTGCAGGGAATCATATGAAAGAAGGGGGAGTTAGTAAGACCTGGAGAGATCAGGGGCCCCACAAGGACCAAATATATCTGGGCACAGGGGTCTTTTCTGAGACTGATTCTTCAACAAGGACCATGCATGGATAATGGATATAACCTAGAACCCCTGCTCAGACATAGCCAATAGGAGCTCAGCATCCAAGTGGGTTTCTGTAGTAAGGGGAACACAGACTGTCTGTGACATGAACTCAGTGGCTGGCTTTTTGACACCCCCCCCCCCGAGGGAAGAGCAGCCTTGCTAGGCCACAGAGGAGGACTTTGCAGCCAGTCCTGATGAGACCTGATTAACTAGGGTCAGATGGAAGGGGAGGAGGACCACCACTATCAGTGGTCTTAGAGAGGGGCAGGGAGGAGATGAGGGAAGGAAGATGGGATTGGCAGGGAAGGGGCTACAACTGGGATGTAAAGTAAATAACTTGTAATTTATATAAAAAAATTATTTAAAAAATCAGCTTGCTAATCAACTCACTGTCTCATTCCTGGTTAGTTTTCTTTGTTGTTGTTGTTGTTGTTGTTAATTCTTTATTAATTACGCTTTATTCACTTTGTATCCCCCCTGTGGTTCCCTCCCTCCTCCCGCCCCAATCCCTCCCTTCCTCTACCCTCTGCATGCATGCCTCTCCCCAAGTCCACTGATAGGGGAGGTCTTCTTTTCGTTCCTTCTGATCCTAGTCAATTAGGCATCATCAGGAGTGGCTGCATTGTCTTCTTCTGTGGCCTGGTAATGCTGCTTCCCCCTCAGGGGAAGGTAATTAAAAAACAGGCCAATCAGTTCATGTCAGAGGCAGTCCCTCTTCCCATTACTATGGAACCCACTTGGATACTGAACTGCCATGGGCTACATCTGTGCAGGGGTCTTAGATTATCTCCATGCATGGTCCTTGGTTGGAGTATCAGTCTCAGGAAAGACCCCTGTGCTCAGATTTTTGGTTCTGTTGCTCTCCTTGTGGAGTTCCTGTCCTCTCCAGATCTTACTGTTTCCCACTTCTTTCCTAAGATTCTATGCACTCTGCCCAACAGGTGGCCATAAGTCTCAGCATCTGCACTGATAGTCTGCAGGGCAGAACTTTTCAGAGGTCCTTTGTGTCACACTCCTGACTTGTTCCCTCTGTTCTCCTTCTTCTGATGTCCATCCTCTTTGCCTTTCTGGATAGGGATTGAACATTTTAGCAATAGTACTCCCTCTTGATTAGTTTCTTTAGGTGTACAGATTTTAGTAGGTTTATCCTATATTATATGTCTATATAAGTGAGTATATACCATGTGTGTCTTTCTGTTTCTAGGACAGCTCACTCAGGATGATCCTTTCCATTTCCCACCATTTACCTGCAAATTTCATGATTTCCTTGTTTTTCATTTCTGAGTAATATTCCATTGTATGGATGTACCACAATTTCTGTATCCATTCCTCCACTGAGGGGCATATGGGCTGTTTCCAGGTTCTGGCTATTACAAATGAGGCTGCTACAAACATGGCTGAGCAAATGTCCTTATTGTACACTTGAGCCTCTTTTGGATATATGCTTAGGAGTGGTATAGCTGGATCTTGAAGAAGCACTATTCCTAGTTGTCTGAGGAAGCACCAGATTGATTTCCAGAGTGGTTGTACAAGTTTACATTTCCACCGGCAGTGGAGGAGGATTCCCCTTTCTCCACAACCTCTCCAGCATGTGTTGTCTCTTGAGTTCTTGATCTTAGCCATTCTGATGGGTTAAGGTGAAATCTTAAGTTCGTTTTGATTTGCATTTCTCACCTTCATATGGAACAACAAGAAACTCAGAATTGCTAAAACAATTCTCTACAATAAAAGATCTTCAGGAGGTATCTCAATCTCTGATCTCAAATTGTACTACAGAGCAACAAGGCATAGCAACAGACTGGTGGATCAATGGAATCGAATAGAAGACCCTGACATAAATCCACACACTTATGGACACCTGGTTTTTGACAGAGATGCCAAAATCATTCAATGGAAAACAGACAGCATCTTCAACAAATGGTGCTGGTCTAACTGGCTGTCTACATGTAGAAAAATGCAAATAGATCTATACATTCACCCTGCACAAAACTAAAGTCCAAGTGGATCAAAGACCTCAATATAAAACCAGACACACTAAACCTGTTAGAAGAAAAAGTGGGGAAGAGCCTTGAACTCATTGGCACAGCAGACAACTTCCTGAACAGAACACCAACAGCACAGGCTCTAAGAGCAACAATCAATACATGGGACCTCATGAAACTGAAAAGCTTCTGTAAAGCGAAGGACACTGTTGTCAGAACAAAACAACTGCCTACAGATTGGGAAAGGATCTTCACCAACCCTATATCTGACAGAGGGCTAATATCCAGTATATGGAAAGAACTCAAGAAGTTAAACAGCAACAAATCAAGTAATCCAATTAAAAAATGGAGTACAGAGCTAAACTGAGAGTTCTCAATAGAGGAATATCGAATGGCAGAGAAACAGTTAAAGAAATGTTCAACATCCTTGGTTAGTTTTCTTATGCAGCCTGAACCCACCTTCCTATGTTGTGGTCCTACTACCTCAATCATCAGTCAAGACAATCACCCTAATACAGAGCCACAGGCCAATCTGATGGGTACAATATCTCAGCTGAGATTCTAAGATGACACTAGGTTGTATCAAGTTGACTGCTGAAATTAACTTACGCTTTTTTTGTGACTTTATGGATACATTTGGTTTTCTTTTCAGTTTGTTATAGAGAGCTGAACTGGTGATCATGAATTCATTTTTAACATATAAACTTTTTATATCTTCATCTTTTTTTCTGGTCTTGTCTATGTGGTGACCTAAATTCCTGCTAGAATTGGCTCTATTCTAAAAAAAAAAAAATGCAATTGAGAAAAATTGGTTTATTTTGTTTATAACACCAGGTTACATTTTATTATTGAAGAGAAGTCCTGGTATGGAGTTAAAGCATTACATTCACAGTCAAAAGCAGAAAAAGAATGAATATGTAGGCTGTTGCTTTCTTGCCTTCACCTACCTTTCCCCTCCCTTATATTTTTACTCCTGTATACTATGCATCCGCCCTTCCCCCCGCCTTGACTAAGGAATAGTGCTGCCACATGTACTTCATCTTTCTACATCATCAATTAACAATCAGGACAATCTTTCAAAGACACAACCACATGCCAGTGTCATTTACATGAGTCCTCAATTAAAACTCTCTTCCAAGGTGGTTATAAGTTATGTCTAGTTGACAGTAAAACTAAGCAACACAACATCTCTTTTCCTAACTATGGAAAATATTTTTAAAATGTTTTTATATCTGTGAAATTTAGGTGTAGTTTTTTCATGGAGTGATGGGTTACTTGAACTTCTCAATTTTATCATTTTATTATTTTATCTTTGTTCTTGTTGGATTATCCTAAATCTGTCACCTTGCCTTCATGATGTAGTAATCCTTCTTTTTTCCTTTTAAAAACATCTTATTTTATTATTTTTTTACAATTATTAACTTTGTATCCCAGTTGTAGCCCCCTCCCTCATCTCCTCCCTGTCCCACCCTTCCTTCCTCTTCTTCTCCTATCCCTCTCCCTTAGTATAGTGACTGGAGAAGTACTCCTCCTCTACTGTCTGACCCTAGCCTATCAGTTCCCATCAGGACTGTTTTGGTCCTCTACTCAGCTATTAAAAATAAGGAAATCATGAAAATTACAGGCAAATTGATGGAATTAGAAAAGATCATTCTGAATGAGACACAGGGCGTAAAGAAAGCAATGGGAATGGGTTGCAGTATTCCTTCTTGCTGAACAGCCCTCATAGTACTAGAAGGTGTTTTGCAGGCTGTTCATGCAAGATTGTCATATGAAGTTTTACTCAGCTGTGGACATTGTGATCTATACTTCAACCTGCCTTACAAGATACGCTCATTGGTCAGTAATGGCAATTGTGTTTCAGGGGTAAATAGTTATTTTCTGAGTGTCATTGAGAAGAATTCACATCTGGTGGAGTCAAAATGGTCAAATGCCCATGCTGTGTAAGAAATAAGTCCTAGTACAGAAGCTATCACTGCTCATCTGCTAAATGGGCCTGATGTGCACATCAAACTGTTTTGTAAATAGCCATGTTTCCCCTTATATATCTCTGCTGTCAACTTGGTCAAAAACGGTTTTTCTTGTAGTAGGCTATGGTAATTTCAGAGACTCAAAACTAGACAAAGTGCTGAGAATAAGTGTTCTTTCAGTGCTCAGCTTAAATGATACATCTACATCTCCCAATACAGGCTTAAGAATCATCAAGGAAGAAGTTATGGGATGATGTAAGAGCCTAAAGATGGAATAGTGTAGAGAATTTTCTTCTAAACATAACATGGCCACAGTGCTCTTGAACTCACAGTAGCTGTGATTAGTAATCAAGGCCTACAAAAACAAAACAAAACAAAACAAAAACGAAAAAAACTGGGCCCTTCCATATTCCATCTAGGAGAAAGGAGGTGTTACCAAACCCATGCCCTTTCCCTGAATATTTATAGGCAGTTAAAAACACTTAGGGAGGCAGGAATTTGAGACTCTTTCCTTCTAGGATCTATAGGCTGTTTGTGGTTGCTAGTGGAGGGAGATTTTTTTTCAATAGAATAGCTACTGGTAAGGTACTGATGTTCCTGCAAATGACTCCTTTCTTTTGTTCTAATAAGCAAACCCAGTGGTATTCAGTGAGTCAAAAACACACACATGAAGAAAAAAGGACCTGAAAGTAGAAAAGGAAGCTAGTTGGAAAGAGGAAAAATATCAGCAAGAGTTGGAACAGAACAGGAGAGTTTAGTGGGTTATTATTGCGATCAAAATACCTGCAAACATGTAGGAACTGTCATATTGAAACCTTTATTACATATAATTAATATATTTCAATAAACATTAAATAAAAACAAAGCGTAAAGAATTCCCTCCATGTGTCTATGAAAATATGTCTGACAAATAATAAATTAGGATTTATAATATCTGGAAAGATATCTTAAGAAAATGGTGGATAGTCAGGTAAATGGTCATCATTGGAAGCCAATGACGAGAAGAATAAGAAAATCCACAAATGAGAAGCACTGTAGTAAGAAAATAGCATTTGTCATTTTTCTATTGCTGTGATGAAACACCATAAACAAAGGCAACTTAAGGAAAAGAGAGCTTATTCTTGGCTTATGATTCTAGAGGGATAAGAATCAAATGGGGGAAAGGAGGCAATGGCAGCAAGTGGCAGGCAGGGCTACAGAAACAGGAAGCTGAGATTTCATCTCCTCATCTGCAAGCAGGAAGTAGAGGGAATAATCTAAAAGAGGCCTAAGGGTTTAATTTATCATAGCCATCTTGAATAGAATATTTCCTCCAGCAAGGCTGTGCCTCATAACCATTATAAAAAAGGGCGACCAACTGGGAACCAAGTGTTTAAATGTGGGAGCTATGCAGGGCATTTCATATTCAATCCACCACAAATGTCAATAGCATACATTAGTTGTAGAAAGACTAGATATTACAAATGGTGCCAAGATGGTGTGTCATGTGGGGCAGGCTGTGGCTGTACCCTGTCTGTGGTGGACTTAATCAGCTTCAAACTGGTGATGATTCTTGGGCCCACAGATTGGTTGAATGTAGAAGGATAAGATAGAGCCAAGTGAAAATACAGAAGATACTAAAAGACCAGTCATGTAGCAAAGCTAGATAACACACATGAAATTGTGTGTTTGAGCCCCAGCATCAAATAAATACAGCATGGCAGTAGGTTCCTGTAGTCCCAGAACTCAGGAGGTAGCTGAAGGAGGAGCTGAGCTTCAAGGTTATCTCTGGCTATATACAGAGTTCAAGGCCAGCCTAAACTTAGCTCACCTTGATTAAAAAAAAAAAAGCATCTCTAAGTTTCTCCCAAATCCTATGTATCTCAGAACATTCACTGTTTCCTTTGAGGAACCATTCAAAGTTCCCAGAGAGTCTAGAATCTTAATAAGGTTTGTCTTACTCCAGAAAAAATAACCAGATACAAGAATATCTCTGGGATTTCTGATGAGATAGATCATCTTAAATGGAAAAACATGTAAATGAGAGTTAATACATACATTCCTCACCTTTTAAATGGCACAATTTACATGAAATGTCAAGAAAAAATTTATGGGCTTTCTAAAAAACATTTATTTTTATTTGGACAAAACATATGTGTAAGTGCGAAAATTATGGTTGTAATATTTTTATAATTTTATTTGATTTTCAAAAATGTAATAGCCAAATGACTAAGGTCATTAATAGCATAAAAATTAAAAAAAACATACTGTTTCAACAGTTCTAAAGATCACAATAATAATTGGTTATGCAATACCAAATGCCCAGCCCTTAAAACATACATACAAGTAACATAGTACTGACTGAGAACGTTGGACTGAAGTATTTAGGAATATGTAGATACATATATATGTATATATGTAACATGAATTAATGAAAAAAAACATAAATTTGAAAGAGAGAAAAGATGGGTATATAGATAGGTTTGGAGGGAAGGGAGAAAGGGAAGATGACATATGTGACTATATTTTAATTATTATCTCAAAGCATAAGAAAAATAAAGTATAAAGTAATAATTTTTTCATAAAAAGAAACATTATATTTTCTACGAAGTTTTCTGGAACTCATATTTACGCTTCATTACCCAAAGCCAAAATCCAGAAGACAAATGCATATAGATGAATGGTAGCAACTTCATTGTAACATTTTCCATAGAGAATGTTTTTCGGTGTTTGTCTCTGTTGTTCAAGAATAAAGTATTTTTAAATCCCAATGTGGAAGGAATCCAGAGAATTTTCTTACTAACTAGGAGCTATGATAGATTAGAATCTTGATATCTCTTATCCTTTCTGGTGATCCTCTATCAGTTACAAGGGAGAGCCCTGTGGCTACTGATCTTAATTGACAGCTAGACATTGTAATACTCTGTGGGTATAAATGATTTTTTAACCATCTCCATGATTAGAGCATCAGTGCCTGGTCAGTTTGCTTCCCTTATGAACAACTTTGACTTAGGTGATTCACCCACAGGACATGGGATATTTGTAGAATTAAGATTGGCTAATCGACTTTGACAATAATAACACAGTAATATCCATGGTACACTATTGTTTAACCTCTGCTTAACCTGTGTATGTAATTCCTGAATGCTCCAGTGTGATAATTCACTTTCCCTCAAAAATCTGCCCAGGATCACTGTATAGTGTTGGACATCTTGGTGTTCTAATATAGTCTGAGGAGGGGACACATCAGAATCACCCAGTGCATCAGAATCCCAGCTTCAGCTCCCCTAACCTACACAATCAGAGTGCATTTCAGCAAGATCTCCAGGGACTGCCAAGACTGAATTGTTCAAAGAGCATTTGGTAAAAAAAATCTTAACCACTGGACACTGACCTTGGGCTTGGAAGTTAAGATAGACTTGCGAAAAAGATGGGAGCAGGTGGGAGCTGATGAATCGTGGTCCCTCCTTATTGATTAATTTATGATATCCCATTTCATTTTCTACCCATGGTGAGCCGTCCCAGATGGGCACAGATTGTCTCCATTCTTATCCCCCTTGGTCTGAATCAAGCAGACAATCTCAACCAGTTTGTACCTGAACAAATGATCATCACTCATTTGAAGAGAACTAGTGAAAAAGCCTCAACCAGAATATACAACATACAATTTACAGTACTGCTGTTTTAAGCACACAGACCTGCAGTGTTCACAAGGTCCACACGGTGTTAAGTGCAAAGTATATTCATTCAGCACATTCTCAAGGCTTCATCTTGAAAAACTAAAATTGTATAACCCAAATAAATACCAACTACCTACAGAATATCCCTTCAGCCCTGTGCCAACATCATTCTATATTCTGATGCAATGAATTTGACTATCCCAGGTATTTCTCAGAGATGAGGTCATAGCATCTGTCCTTTGAGATTGGCTCATTTAATTTAATACAGTGCTATTGGCATACAGCCATGCTTCAGTGTGTGACTCGATACTTCTTTTTAAGTTGAATAAATCTCCTTGTGTGTATTTACCACATACACACTTGGATTTGTGTTTGTGTGCTCTTTTGTCACGGGACGTTTCTCTAGCTTCCTTCTCTGGATTGTTGACAGAATTTCTTCCTGTGTTCCCACAGCCTTTGGTTTTTCCATGTCATTGGTCTTTCAATGTGAGAAGCCTAATACTTAAACAATGTACAGTGCTTCTTCCATCCAGCAAACACCACCCTCTAAGCCACTGTGATGCTTTTTTTGTTTCTTTTTTTTTTTAGTTTTTTTTTAATTTTTTTTTATTAATTACACTTTTTTCACTTTGTATCACCCTGTAAGCCCCTCCCTCCTCCTCTCCCGATCCCACCCTCCCTCCCCCTTCTTCACGCATGCCCCTCCCCAAGTTCACTGATAGGGGAGGTCCTCCTCTCCTTCCTTCTGATCTTAGTCTATTAGATCTCATCAGGAGTGGCTGCATTGTCATCTTCCGTGGCCTGGTAAGGCTGCTTCCCCCTCTGGGGGAGGTGAGCAAAGAACAGGCCAATCAGATTATGTCAGAGGCAGTCCCTCTTCCCATTACTATGTAACCCACTTGGACACTGAACTGCCATGGGCTACATCTGTGCAGGGGTTCTAGGTTATCTCCATGCATGTTACTTGGTTGGAGTATGAATCTCTGGGAAGACCCCTGTGTTCAAATTTCTGGTTCTGTTGCTCTCCTTGTGGAGTTCCTGTCCTCTCCAGATCTTACTATTTCCTACTTCTTACATGGTTCTTTATTTTCAGTCTCTTTCCACTACCTGGACAAAGTCCAAGGTAACTCTTCTACCTTACACCGTCTTCTCCTACATATTCTCACATCCATGCTTTTATCTCTTCATGCTATTTTTTCCTCAGAAATCTCCCTCTTCCCTACACACAGAGAGAACAATGCTGGATTCTGCATCAGATTCTGCTGTCATTGCTCTGGTCTTTTAGCTGATCACCTCTGTCCACATGTAAGCCAGACTAGAGACTCTCATGCTCAGCTCTTCATGCCCACAAGGTTTTTTCACAACAGTTATATAGAGCACCTTGCTCATCACTCATATGAATGGGAATCCAAGCCTTGACTTTTTTTCATACAATTCAAAATCATTCTCACTGATGGTCCTTACCTGACTTGGGGTAAGTCAGAATGATTGTGTCTTCTTCTCTTACCAGAAACTTATTGCGAATCTCTTCTCTGACTTCTTTTTTATACCTTATGGCAGGTATAGAAACCAAATGTAGTCAGACATGGTAAAGAGATCTTTGTATGTGCTATTAGGATTAACGCCTTTGCGACCTATACAGCTCATAGCCAACACTGAGAGGTAAAATTTATAATGCAGGCAAAAAAATCATTAATAGTACCTAGTTTCTTATGAAACCACCTATTGATAAGAAATCAATATTGTAATCTGCAGTCAAAGGTCACTGAATTAAGCAATTTTGCACTTATGTAGAGTTCATTTTTGCAGCATTTGTGAGCCTGAGTTCATGACCCTAACTAAACCAGAAACTCAATAACAAGTAATAAGACCTAGAAATGCAGCTTAATTTAAAATGCTTTCTAATACATTTTACCTTTCATGATGGCTTGAAATGTGCAGAAAAGTGACAGAGATTATACATCAGCTGCACTCTTTCACTCCTCCCACACTTCTTCTTCCCCTCTCATGCCTCTCTCACTTTCCCATGTTGATGAGCTCTTCTTTAATTTTCATTACTTTTTATATGCACACACACACACACACACACACACACACACACACACACACACACACACACA